ACAGATAGCATAATTCCGGATGGGCTTTATGTGAACGAAGCTAGCTCCTTTGTCCACTTTGCTTGCCTCAGTGGGTCTGTTCTAGTTGAATCTTGAAAAGAATTGGCAACCAAATCATTTTTTATGAAATATATTAATATTCAGTCAAGGTTTCCACTCGATCTTATCTAATCTTATCTCGATTATACTCAAATTTGAAGCAACTGTATGCAAATACCTATACTGAAACTCTAGAAGCAAACAACCTGGAATTGTCATAACATAAATTTAATAAAACAAATAATTTATTTTTTGAATCGTTACCTAAGATGAAGTAGTTATTTTAAAACAAATGCATACAAAACGAGCTGCACAACCTTGCCCAGTATGGTCAAGTTTGATCTTCGCTTCGGTAATTTTCCTTCACTTTGGCGGAACACAGCTTGTGCTGCCACAGACTCTTTCTATGAGCCAAGTTTATGCAATCTGCACTTTTTATACTAATAAATTATGGCATATATCGCCACACTGAATTCTTGTTGTCAGCATTATTCGGGACTTTCAGCCCCCACGACGTGTAGCATTAACTCTTCACCTAAACGATACAGTTACGTACTATTTTCTTTTCTTCTTGTAAATTAAGTTTTTATTAAACTAACTGGTCACTCATACTATATATATCTCGTTCTCAAAATAAAATATGTACTACTTGACTTACATACCTGTTCTTTTTTTCAAACTTTCTCTACAATGGCAAGTAGTTTTCATTCTTTTTATTTCAAAGATGGAATAGACAACTTTTTCGATGAGCATGACGAAAGAGTTTAAGATACCTTAAGGTGGCTTAACAGATATTGTATTTGACACAATAACTAGCCGCAAGAGTTATTAACTGGGCTAGATCACCAACTGGAGCTCGCGCTGTGGTTAAAACTGCGAGAACAAGAGTAACTTCTCACACGGTTATTGGAACCATCCATCTGTCTGCAGTGTTTCATGTTGTTTCGAGAAACCTCCCTCCCGAACCTGAATTAGACACTGTCGCCAAAAAGAAGAAAAAGAGTAACAGTAGAAAGAAACGGGATGTAGCTGAGACTAACAACGGCGAAGGAACTCAGGAGGATGACACCAGTGCAGTTAATGTATAACCAGCTCCAAAAGGTACAGCTTCAAAAGGTACAACAACTGCTCATTTTATTAAGTTTTTCAATGAGATCCTTGATATCATAAATGAGGATGAGTCTGTAAAGGGTAGTTATTTAGTGATGGGTAATGCTAGGATCCATAATTCGATACCGATGATTCGAAAAATCGAAGCTAGAGGTTATAGAGTAATGTATCTCCTCCTTTACTCGCCTGAGCTAAACCTTATTGAACAGTTCTGGGCCTTAGTGAAAGGAAAAATGAAGCACCATCGCTTGATGAAAGAAGAGACATCATCTTCTAGAATTGGTGATGCATATAATGACGTTCGTTTTAGTGATCCTTATAGCTTGAGCCTTCACTCCAAACGTCAAATTATAAATTGCTATAAATGAACTCCATTCTAAAGCTTTTTATTGAATAAATATTTACTAATTCTAGCTATAAATCAACTGAAGTGTTACGAGAACCAAAACACTATATGATTTTATTAATTGGAACATGGTTAAGCACTATTATGTTTTATTCACTTGTTTTTGCATTAGCCGACAACCATTTTTTTGAATTTTTGCTGTGACCAACAATATCCACCAGCCGGACTGTATTAGTTGATTGTATGATTAAGCTTGCGGAGTTAGCAATGAATGCCCTGGAAAAAAAAAAGTGTATATATTCACTGACCTTCGTTTCTTTCAAAAATAATAGTGTATAAGCTTGGCCAATCAATCATCTTTGTGTTGATAACTCTTTTTAAATAAAGAAATCCAGTAACACAAAAACCTTTAATGATGACGTTCCAGCCAATTAAATTTGTTTTGACTACCAAATATGGTCCCTGTTTTATAGAGTTCTTTTTTTTTTTTTTTTTTCTTCTCTCATAAATAGACTTGAAGAGCACCACAAAATGTCAGAAGAGAGCTTTGATACTTCGTCAAGAAAAATGTTTGACGCAACAAAAGAAGTGAATAATAAAACTGATAATAACAATAGACTTCATGTAACTATAAAACACATTCTTAACTACAAGACAATAATAACTTTATATACATATAGTTTTGGTCTAATTCAGTAAATTCAGTATCACTCGTTTTATTATCTATACTCGAAGCCATCATCGTGATTGCATTAGAAGCTGTCATATTTGTCAACTTTCATAATACAGAGTAAGAAATATTAATAATAATATGCGTTATAAACTTATAGTGTCTTTATGTAGATTTTCAAAACATAACCTCGGTTTAGGTATTCCTGTTTACTTGATGATTTTTATAACCAGTCAAGTATTTCAAGTATTCACCGCATGGGATGCTGTAAGAGGGCTTACTTTGCATAATAACAACACTATTAACACATCTATAGGTCCGTGCACAGAATACAATACAGGTCATTGCATTTTTGTTATTCAATCTATGCTGCTTTGTATATGCTGTTTTCCAATTCAAGCAAATGGCAGATGCATTGAGGTCCAATGATCCTTATTTAGGAGAATTGGCTAATTGGCTCAAGTCGTTTATTTATCGTCTGTTGATTGCTGTTGCTGTTATCACTGGAGTATGTCAATTAGCTTATTTTTACCTTGGTATACGCTTATATCAAGAATTTGGGTATGTTTGCATATGTATATATAATCAACAGCAACTAATAATATGTTAGATGGAAGATTTACAAAAGAATAGGCGCTGACCCAGAAATAAGAAGTAAAGAAGACACTCTTTGTGTTATGTATAACTCATGTGTGTATTATAGACATGTATAGATGGTACCAGATTTTTTTGACTATTCTCAAGCTTGACTTTTTCTTCTTTTTGGGTTACTCTATCCAATATCTCATCTTGGTCCTTCGAAATAATGACCCAGAGTTTCCATTGACAATCGTTGCTCTACCCGTAACTTGTCTAGTCCTGTTGTTAGCTGTCTATGCAGTAAGTAAAGATCATAACGTCATCATTCTCACTCATATCATGTTTAGGTAAGACACGAATCAAAATGGTTAATCAGCTTATTCTTTTTGGGTTTATTTGCTGGTGTTGCCTACTTTAGCTTCAAACTATATCGAATCTATGACGTATCACAAGCAGAAAAATACAAGTTTGTAAAGGACTTTTTGACTTTCTTTGGCAAGTAAAACCATGTTTTATTTATGCAAAATAATAACACCTTTTATAGCCAGCGTATCCTTAGCCTTTGTTATCTTGACGCTTGTCAATGCGATCATTTGTTTTCTCAATTTCGATAAAGGATTGAAACCTCATTGTAAGTTCTATATTCAGAAATATTAAAGGTGTCTAATTGTCTATACAGTAACATCTAGGTACCATCAATCATCAACGCCCGAAAACCTTAATGAACGTACACTTTCTCTTGATTAATATACACACACATTTATGAACTGGTTTCATAAAATTACTTTTATTGTCCTCCTCGCATTTGTATCATTTACTTGTCATTTACCGTTTCCCCCCTCTTTCTTATATTCCCTCTCTTTCTTGACGTCTATTTTCTTTTTTTCTCTTTATTATTATTATTATTATTATTACTGTTATTAAATTTAATACACTATGACCAAACATCCCAGCTTTTCTTCTTTTTAGCTTCCTTTTCGTGCTGTATCCATTTAGGTAAGCAAGTATCATAATGCTGATCATGGTCAATACTTTTATCTGATGTGCCTGTTGGACATTCACATCTACATCCAATATCTTTTGAAGGTGATGGACAATGTCTATAAAGATCATGCTGATACCCAAAATCTTCAAAATAATGAACCTCGGATGTTTCCAAGAATAAGCCAGCAGCCAATGAATGCACTAGAGTAGAATAAATGCCTTGTAGCTAAATATATCTCTTTTTTTTTTACCTGGTGCATCTCCCCATCGTTCATAAAAAAAGTTACCCGTCTTATCCAGATAATTAAAGAAATCGCGGTACTGAGGACTTCTCCAGAGATCAAGGGAAGCGATTTCAAAATTAGACCAAAAATGACACAAGTTGAAATCACCCGTGTCCTTGTTGACAAAGTAAGGGAAAAGCAAATGACTCTTTTCTGAAGTATCTATTCTTCTCGTCTTGGCATACTCTAACACGTGCTGCCATAAGGTAGGAATCGTTTCTGGCAGTTCAGTCAAAGTGACGACAAATCCATACTTCATTTTATATTTTTCCATGAAAAGGAAGGGGTCATAGGTGATATCACAGTAATACTTGACACCAGGCTCCACACGCCAGTACCAATCAAATTCATCTAATAATGGATGATCAAAGAAGAATCCAGATTGATATCGACACATGTGGTGATAACTTTCCAAGTCTCCATAGTAAACGCCTTTTCGGCCCATCTCTGCTCGTTTCTCTGCTGCCAATGTCTTATTGACCCACACTGGATAACTCCATTGATTCTCGGGGACAAGACCAAAACGCATATCTGCATTGGGTGCTGCCTTCTTGACTGCCTCTTTGAATTCATTCGTAAAGGGCTCTTCGTTTAGAAATACATAGGGATATTTAAAGTTCTTGTTGAATCTATCTTCGAAATTGGCAATGGTTTGTGCAATGTCACCTTGTTCCCTAATACTTGTGAATACATACTATCTTTTTATTTTATTCTTTTTTTTTTTTACTTGTTGCGAACAAGAATCACCATGGCTGCTTTGGCTTTCTTTGCTGGAGGATTGTTTATAAAATGCTTTTGTGGAAGACATGCTTTTTCATCATAATCTGTAAAATAAGCAACTGGCTGTAATTGCTTTGACACCTTTGGATGATTGGCGATCTGGTATAAAAAGAAGAATGCAGAGACAAATATAACAAGAAGAACTGGCTTTCTTGAAACCGATAGAATCGGGAAAGCTGGCATCCGAAAGAATAAAGTAATAAAAAAAAAGAGAAGGGGGTGAACATGGGAAAAATCAAAGGTGTGCGCGTAGTGTTATGACAGTTGCATAAAGCCCATTAATTACAAATGCGTCATGACTGAAACATAGTCTATATGCATATAGTGTTCCGTTTGGTTTCATCGTAGGCTCTTGTTTTCTCTAGCTTAATATCATATCGAACCCTATCATCTTCCAGATTATCAAGTAAAACCCTTTGTTAACATACACTCTTATAAGCATGCACTTTTTTTTTTCTTTCATTTTTCCCATTCTACTTTTAAAATGACAGAATATATTGATGAACGGCAAGCAGTCGAGGAAAAATACTTCAAGGACATTACTTGCTGTGGACTGAGAATCACAAGCTTGTACAAGTTAATAGAGCATCACGAACGGTGTCATGAACAATTTGAATTCTGCAGTAATAAAACAGAGGCTCAGGTTAATATGCTACGACATCACGACGTCTTTTTTTCTGCAGGTATCTACATCAATGAGACACCTTATAACAATAATCAAGAGATTGTTGCGATTGATACCTCACTTCTTACCCAGTCAACCGATATGAATAATCCACTGTCTAGTATGTGCATGAAACACATGTTTAAATATGTAACTGATATGTCTATAGACTGTGGATCAGATCCAGAAAGACGACGACGGTATGTCTGCACAGAGCCATTATGTAATAAGGTATACAAGAACATCAATGGTCTAAGGTATCACCAAACACATGGTCATCATAAGCATTTACCCATATCCCAACTCCATGTCTGTAAGCTCTGTGGAAAAACCTACAAAGCGTCTAATGGACTTCGGTATCATATGCGAAGTATGCATACCATTCTTTTATATGACAAATGAAATAAATTTTAAGACCCAGATAACGGGTCTCGTAAGTAACGTGACCAGAACAAGCAACCCAAGAATTAACTTGTAGTATATATATTTATAATAATGACTTTTTTTTTCCAATTGCTAAGCCTTTATCTTTGTTATTAAAAGGTGATATAATGGCCGGCTTTTTTTTGCATACAAATATTTTCTTTACAATGGTTTAAAGTAACCAAAGAGAGCCAATGTACGCGACAAGTAACCATAGAAACATGAACAAATAATTTATATAAGGTTACACTGCCCTGAATCAGAAATATTCGGAATATAGCTACTTTGTTGTTTCAAGATAGTAACCTACTTAGTCAGGAGCTACTTTCAATCATCTTGACATGTTTAAACTAGTACAATACAACCCCATTTTTTTCTTTATTTTTTTGTGAATAAAGCAATTAAAACCCATTATATTCCATAATACACTTAGATTGATAAAAACAACACAAAAAAATATGCTAAAAAAAAAAAACTACAGACTTGCTTTCATTATTTAAGCTCATTTTTACACACATAAAAGAGGGGCATTGTCTGCGTACAATAATAGCTAATTTATTTTAGATACTTTCTAGATAACCAAAAAAGCAAGAGAAAAAAAAATACTTAAATAATGCTTGTTTTTAGAATATATCCATTTTAATTGTTCACATATATATTTTACTGACACTTATGTCTTTGTTCATATTGGCTAACTTGTTTTTGCAAATAAGCAAAAATATTATATAAAGTATTATTCATAGCAAAAGAAAAGAAAAAAAAAAAAAAGAAAGCTAATTTATTTTGCAAGTTGAAATCTGTAAGTAGTGTTTCTTTTTAGCTTGATTTTATTTCACTTATATATACACAAATTTATTTAAAAGCAAGCCTAAAAGAAATAAACAATATAAAATCAGCCCATACTAATGCTAATTTACTCACTGCTCTTGTCTTGCTGCGTGTTAGGATGCCTTTATCTTTTATGATTGCTTCATATTTTAAAAATAGATGAATGCAAATGAACTTTATTGGAGGAGGAGTAAACATTGACGGGACCCTCTTTCTGTGATTTAAGATCAAGCTTCAGCTTGTCTTTCAGTGCCTAAGCGTTTAATGATTATTGGTTGATCACAAGTTGAAAAATCTAAATACCCAACCAAAAAAAACAGTCATGAGTTCAAGGTTAAAAAGAAACATCATTTAATCCTTACCGAGTATTTGCATCGCAATGGCCCTGTCATTCTCTTGTGTTAAGCGAGGAAGAGGTAATAGAAATAGAATCAGTATTGGAGTGGCTGATGCTAGGCAAGAATATAGAAAGAGTTTGCACGGTCCAAAAATGCCAATTGCTAAAGCAGAGAGAGAATCTCTTGGTTTGGATGCTTTGTTGTTCCTGACTATGGCACATCTTAGATTTCTACATTAAAGGGAACCTTTGCTCTTGAAACTAATTTGTCTTCCTTTATTCAATTTTCTTTGCATAAGTTGGTCGAGTTTTGAAAAACAATACAGGCAGACTTGTGAGGCCATGTATTCGTCAGTTATGCGCACGTTTACATACTTTACCTGAATCCTTTGCTTCCATATTCCACCATATCTAAGAAAGCCCTTTATTCTTGAACCAGCACCTGTTCCTTCATCACCTATGAACATTACTGGCTTTGTTTTCGGCTGTTGATCTAAAAGTTTGATTAGATTCTTGTGAATTTTAATATTGTATTATTACCATTTTGAGCAACTATGAATCGTTGTTCTGAAGTACAAAGCTTTAATTTAAACCTTTTTTGTTGAATATGCTTCGTTCTCTCTTTAACTCTTTTGCTGAAGTAATAAAATTTTCTAAGTGTGTCATGAGCCGTGTACTGCTGTGAAAGGACTTCTTTTATTTCTTCAACACTGACAGCGTGATACATGCTCTCATCGGTTCTCTTTTTATCTCTTTCAAGCTTTTTTTTTCTTCTTATCCAGTTTTCGCATTCAAAGTCGATGTCTTATGATTTCACGTTAAAAGAGTTGGGCAAATCAAGGTAAGATACACTTTCGTCCATACATTCCGGATCAGTAGCGTTGCTATGGTATCTTTCAAGAATATTAGCAAGGTGAGGATCACCGTTTTGTACATCTCCAAGAACCTGATATCGGTTGTAAAGCTCTAAATGAAATTTAAAACGTTTCAAAATAAAAACAGCCGTATCAGACACGGTGCGAAGGCTATTATCTGTTTCTGAAAACTTAAAGTCTTGAGCAACATTGAAATTGGGTGAAAATAAACTATTCTCAGCTTTTGCTAGTCCATAACTTCCTTTATCAATAACTTGAGCATGAGTAAGCTAATCTCCAGATTCAGGCGGACAAGGAAGGCGATTATTAGCCATTTCTTTTTGCGCACAATTTCCATTCTTTTTATATGCAACTGTTTTCTTCTGTTACGTAATTGATTTTGTATATGAATCCTCTTGTTGAATAAGTCATTGCACGGTTGTTTAACTTGTTCAATTTTTGAATACAATTGTTGACGTTCCAAAGCTGAACTACTCTTCCATTGCGAGTGAACTAACTTTAACACTTTCAAATGGTTTGCTGACTTTTCTTCTTTGTTGACCATTTTTGACAAGTTGGTAAGCTCTGATACTTGTGCTTGTGATAAGATAATTTCTTATGTGAATGTGAAAATAGAAGCGGTTCGAACCTTTAGTATTTTTTAATAAAAGTTGAAGTTTCTTATGATGACGAAAGGTGTCTTTATTAAGGTAACGGTAAACGACTATTTATATGTTTCCACTTGATATTTGTTACAATGAATGTTTTAAAGAGCAATAAAGCTGAACTCAAACTAAATTTCACGCGACAGTACTCGGAGTATTATCATAGAGAAAATTCAAAGTAGTCTTTTTCAGTGTAGATCCTTTACACATGATATATTGTGTTATGACATTAAAGTTCGAAACGGTTATCTTTATCGTTGCTCATGTCCTGACTCCTCCAAGTTTTGCAGACATATTTTTCTTGTCAATCGTGTATTTCAAGTGCCTTTTATAGAACGTTCAAGGCCGAATGTAACTCCTGTTAACGATGAAAATGCCACCTTGTCTAATACAATTGAAGACATGCCAGACGCTGCCTTTGATAATATTCAAAGCACTAGTGACATGGACGAGCAAAACTTGCGCTTTAGTGAATTCATTAACGAAGGAGAAGAGTATTGTTAGGTATTAAACAAGTTATAGGAAGAAAAATCTGCTTTGTTAGCACAACAAGGCAAGCTAAATGAAATTCGTTATTGATAAACACTTTGAAAGAAGCAACTATTGCAATGTATGACGCTGGAAAATCTTCTCATACACTTCCACCAAGACAACAATGATTTTTTTTACAATTGATATAATAAACATTGAAAAAAAGTCTATCGTACTTAATTCATCAACATTTAATATGACTGCTAAAATCTTTGTAACTATAAAGCTGCCCATCACTACTGGAATCGGCATTTTAAAGTTTCGTGGCTTATACAATTGCAAACTTTTTTTTTTTATTGCGGCAGTAAGCTGGGAAGTAGTAAAGCCTCCTCTTTTTCGCTTTAGTCGATTTTAAAAATGTAATTGTCAACATCCAATGTCGAGGAAAGAAAGAGCAAAGGGAGAGAGAAACTTATGCATATTTCAATAGGGTCAGTTTAGTTGTCCAAAAGCGTCTTGCTGCTTCCGTCCTCAAGTGTGGTAAGAGAAAGATCTGGCTCGACCCCAACGAAGTCAATGAAATCTCCAACGCCAACTCTCGTAAGTTTTATTATTTGTATTCCAAAGAGATATATAACCGTATTTTGTAAAGGTGCCAACATCCGTAAGCTCGTCAAGGATGGTTTGATCATTCGTAAGCCCCAAATCTCTCAATCTCGCTTCCGTGTCCTCGAACGTGCTGCTGCCAAGCGCAACGGTCGTCACATGGGTTACGGTAAGAGAAAGGGTACTGCCGATGCCCGTATGTCCAGCCAAGTTATCTGGATGCGCCGTATGCGTGTCCTCCGTCGTCTCTTGGCCAAGTACAGAGAAGCTGGCAAGATCGACAAGCACTTGTACCACCAACTCTACCTCAAGTCTAAGGGTAACGGTTTCAAGAACAAGCGTGTCTTGATGGAACACATCCACAAGGCTAAGGCTGAAAAGGTCCGTGCCAAGACTCTTGCTGAACAAGCTGATGTCCTCCGTGCTAAGAACAAGGCTCTCCGTGAACGTCGTGCCAACAAGAAGAACGAAAAGGTTGAAGCCTAAATTTCTTTTTTTTACACACAATAAATCTCAAAGATTGACCAGTAATTCTAAACCCAAGTTCTTTTACATTCTACTTCTCCTTTCAGGGCAACACACGTAACAGTTGCCCCTTCCTTCTGTTGTCAAGCAGAAAAAATTTTCGTGACTTGTTTTATTTTTTATATTTTTTTTCTTGTTCTACTGGACCGTTTTCAATTTTCTCTCTCTTTTACTTTAGTAAATAATTATTACTATGAGTGTTCAAGGCTTTTGGGGTAATTTTTATATGAAAAAAGACGGAAGAGCCTTTGACTCATGCCTATTGTTTTTTTATATGTAAATAGGTCTTCAGTTAGTACCTGGCAAGACATACAGTCAAGTTGTAGCAGCTCCTTTCCGTATTTCTATGGTAAATTACTTTTATATTTTACATGGATATATATATATATATATAGTATATTCAATATCAACTTAGGCTTCACTTACTGTTGATGCTGATGGAAACAAGCGCACGTCTGTCTCTGTTCTTATCGATAAAAAAGAGTTCGTTCTTTGTACTTTAGTTCCCAACAAGGTATAGGAAAAAAAAAGCAAACAAGGATAATATATTTATATTCTTTATATAGATCGAGCAACAACCTTTAGACATTACCTTTGTTGAAGGTGAAGAAGTTACTTTCTCTGCCAAGGGTTCAAATGCTGTTCATCTTACTGGTAACTATGTATTCCACGATGATGATGAGGGAGATATGGGCTCTATGGGTGATGAATCTGAGGAAGAAGATAATGTTGAAGAATTCTTAAAGTAAGGCGTTTATGAAATATGAAGTCGAAAACCTAACAAACATTGTAGAAAGCTTCCTCCTAACGCCACTAAGGAAGATATCAGTAAGTTCTTTCTAACAATGTATGTATGTTGACTAACATGTCGTATTAGACAAAGCTTTGATTGCTTCTATTAATGGAGGTATGGATGAGTCTGATGAGGAAATTGATTCTGATGAAGCTATGGGTGAAGATGACTCTGAATCTGAAGAAGAATCTGAAGAAGAAGAATCTGAAGAGGAGGAGAAGCCTATTGTCAACAAGAAGCGTCCTGCTGAAGATACCAAGACACCTCCTACCAAGAAGCAAAAGGCTGCTGAACAGGCCAAGAAGCCTGAAACCAAGAAGGAAGAATCCAAGAAAGAACAGGCCAAGAAGAAAGAAGAGCCTAAAAAGAAGGAGGAACAAAAGAAAGAGCAAGCCAAGAAGGAGGAACCCAAGAAGAAGGAAGAACAAAAGAAGAAAGAAGAACCTAAGAAGAAGGAAGAACAAAAGAAGGAAGAGCCCAAGAAGAAGGTTACAAAGCTTCCTAACGGCCTCATTATTGAAGATATTAAGGTTGGTGAAGGTGCTTCCTGTAAATCTGGTCAAAGAGTTGGCATGCGCTATATCGGTAAGCTCACAAACGGCAAGGTCTTTGACAAGAATGTTTCTGGTAAACCCTTCTCTTTCCTTTTGGGTCGTGGTGAAGTTATCAAGGGATGGGATCTTGGTATCGTTGGCATGAAGGCCGGTGGTGAACGTAGATTGACCATTCCCGCTCCATTAGCATACGGTAAGCGTGGTGCTCCTCCAGATATTCCCAAGAATGCCACTCTTGTTTTCGATGTCAAATTACTTACCATGAAATAATCTGTCTCCCCTTGCATTGTTATTATCTTATCTCAAATTGTTTTATATCAGTTATTACACTTGTCAATAAAAAATAAGAATTCATCTTGGTTTATTTTATAAAAACGCACCCTTAAATAGACTGCAGGAACAAAGATAATTGAAAATGGTGCGTCGTCAATGGAATCTTACTACGTGCACACTCACAAAGAAGAATATAGCTTAAACTAAAACAAAGATGCACCTGTCAAGGTATCAAAAAGTGCAAATCTTTCTCTCTTTTTCGCTTTATGACAGTGTCGAATAAAGACATCATGTGTAACGTTGAATGCGACTTTTTGTTAGCTGCATTATGCAAGGTAGCTACACTTTATTTCATCAGCGTATGTGATCAACAAACTTAGAATCTGAGCTTGCTGAAGAACCACTTGTTCTTGCCGGTTTGGTAGCGTTCTTCAAAGAGCTTCTTGATGAGCTAGAATAAAGATATGTGAACAGTCAATTTTATATCGACTTTTTTTGACTTTACCTTCTTGGCATCTTCACGTTGAGAAGGTTCCTTGAAGGTGTCAGAGGAAATGGTTCCCTTAATTTGTTCCAATTCCAAACCATAACTAAAAACATATAAAGGTTGGTATTACTAATGTCAACAATGCCTATATAATTACCGAGTGGGCATCATGTGGTTGTAGTTGACAATCTTGACGAAAGGCTTAACCTTGGAGCGCTTGGCAACCTTCTTTTGACCCATCTTCTTGGTGACCTTGAGAGGAGTGCGTTCGACACCAGCGACAACGGCGTAACCATATGGTCTTTCCTTAGTTCCTTCATCGTGGTCTATACATACGCATGTTGAATAATCCCGATATTGTCATTGTATTATTTCTAAATCTTACTGCGAACAACAACAGCCTTCTTACCGGCATAGCGACCTTGTAAGATGACAACAACCTAATTTCTTAATTAATTTTCTGTCTTATTTTTTTTTTTTTGAAAAAGGGAATGGATTCATTCTATCTGCATCCATCCATCCTTGTCGAAAGCACGTACTTTACCAGCCTTGATGAATTTGACCATGTTGGTTAGTGATATGTAGAGGAAGAGAAGGAAATCTGAGTTTCATCCGTTTCTTCTAATACAGCACTCTGCTTTGGTTGGGCACTTCTGCACTTTTCTTCTCTCTTTGTCTCCTTCTTTCACCCACCCTCCAACCCACACTATCGGAGTTTAAATAGAGCGAATGAGATTTTGAAAACTGCAGTTGCCGCACAAAGGGACATTCTTTCTCTCTCTTTTATTTTTATGAGTGAAAAGAAACGTTCCTTACCGTTTGAAAATGAAGATCCGAAGCGACAACGAAGGTCTACACTAGAATTTGCTGCAGATAATCAATTCTTGCTTGAAGATTATTTTTCATTGGCTATTGTCCTTTTGGATCCAACAAAGATATTTATATTTAAAGAAAGAAAAGATGAATACATCCATATGCTGGCTAAGCATGCAGTTAAACTTGCTCATGGCAATCTCTTGAATACAATTGAAAGAATGTTGAGTTTGGTTGATAGCGATACGTCAGATCAGGAACTGAATCTGTTGCTCGCCAAAATGAAGGATATAGATAAAGAAAGAGAATATGCGTTCATTACTTGCACCATACAGTGCCTAAAAGTAAAAAGCGTCTCTATGCGTGATTATATAATAACTTTCATTTTTCTAGAACAAGACGTCAAGAATAGATGACATTATACGATCACAGCTTGACAGCAGATCGTTGTTACAACAAGTGCTATTTCATGATGTCCGATTTGCAAGATTACTGCCTTTATTTCACTTTTTATTTAATTATGATCCCAGTATGGTTACCACTCCTTCATATGAGGTATTTCTATTCGATATCCTGATAAGATTGTCGTGTCATATGTGTGTATGTGTGTTTTTATAATGACATATTACTATATATCTACAGAATGGAGTATCTGCAAGCTATAAAAGTTCTTCCATGATTGGCACTATTGCAAATTCACAGGGTACCTTTTCATATTCATCCTCTTTTGATGATTTCATATCTAGAATACCTGATACAAACTATGATGAACCACATGATATGCAAGAGTTTAGTATCATAAGTGCTACTATGGACAGTGATGATAATATCATGGATGACACTACTACACAAGAATCTAGACAAAAATTTAGTGTAGCAGGAAACGAAAAGACGACTTTATGTTATAATGACTTGATATTAGACGAAATAAAGGTCGGAGAGAATGTACTAGATGACTCTGTGAAGGCGAGCATCATTCAGCACCTAAAGACAAACAAGCCAAATATTTGGGAAAAGATCGTGAATTATGAGGTAAAAAAAAAATCAGTCTTTTCCAGCCTACTGGTTGATCCTTCCTTTTTTTAATAGCCTGTGGATATTGATGAATGCTATGAAGGCTTAGAATGTAAAAAGAGTGTCCTGAGTGCCTTTCTAGATGAATTTGTAAATTGTGTGACACGAATGTTTATGCAGTCTAAACAAAACTAAATGTGTTGTTAGGGCTGTTTGAAGTCTAAAAATAAAATCAAGCTCAGCTAAAGATGAGCTTCGTTTCTTGTTTATAAAGTAGTGCTTGAGGGGGTCTTCTGGTCGTCTATTAAGTAGCAGCTAGCCTCTTTTTGTTAACATGGCAATGTTTGACAGATTTTTTTTATTATTATTCTTTGGCACATTAAGTGAAGCTAAACAACTCATGTGCATTTGGCATACTCAACAGTATCATTTTATATAATGTCTTCTATTCAGGTTATAACTATCCACCTTTTGTAGCATAAGATCTGTCAAAGCCTATCGCAAACTCTTGATTTAGTCCTCGGGTTTGCTCAAGCAGCAGAAAAACACATGTATCAATGTAGAGTTGGTATTAGTATATATCTCACATAGGAAGCTTCAAGCCAAAAGAAGTAGCTTTTAAAGAGTAAACACTCTGGATGAAATAAATGACCATGCGCGCTTTTTTTACTATTGTGCATTAACTTGGTTTCTACGAGGCCTCAGCAGGTAACCCTTTTTATTTTGATACGCCAAGGTTAATCAATTAATAGAGCTGCTAATTGCTTTTTATCATATATGAATCTTGTTGCATTACTGTATTTCCAAAAATTATTGACACTGATGCCAAGAGTAAAATTCGCGCTTGTTAAATTCTAATGTCACGTTAAGAAGAGATATGTTGTATTTTGTACACGAAAGCTCTACACCAGAGCAACCAGTGAAATTTCGGTACACTAAACAACAGTAAGACAAGACATGGAAAACCAAAAAGTACCGTCGAATCTTGCAAGGTCTCAAAGTCCAGAATCCTGATACCTTTCAAGTTGAGCAAGCCCTTTGTCAACAGCCAAGCAGCACCGTATCCGTAGAAGACTTTAACCGCTTCCTTCAAGCCAGACCTGAATAGTCTGCCGTTCTTAGTCAATTCTATGGACATACCATCACAAACCATGATAATGGATACCTCCTCTTTCGCAAGATCCGTCTTTCAGCGTACTTCAACAAACAATGTGCCGATTAAAAGCTTATTCAAGGCTTACGCGCCAAGTTTGGATAAGACGCCGTGTTTGTGATGGGAAACTGGTCTGCTCCCCATGCTAGGTATCATGAGCCCATCTGTAGCCTTGGTTTCCGAAGACTTCTCAAGAAGCATAGGTTCCAAATCTATCTTATAGACGAGTACAAGACCAGTAAGTGCTGTCCAACATGCCACAAAGAAAGCCTTCACACGTTCCGCCGTGTTCCAAACCTACGACCGTATCAATGTGAGCGATATCCTTCTGTCGTCTGCCATGGCATTTTAAGGTGATAATACATTAACCACTTGGATGACTTTATACTGGTTGAATATTGCCTGTAGATGCACCAATTTATACGGTAGACCCGCCATGGCAGCTCCAGATAGATATCGCTTAAGGAACAGGGATGTTACTGCTTGTCTCAACTACGTGCACATCCTTCGTGGGTTTCGACTTAATGGCATGATTCCTCATAGGTTTCGCCGGGTTGCTGTTGCTCCTACAAGGTGTCGAAGAAGAGTGGACGATCAGGAGCAACCAAGAACTAGAATACGCTTAGACGATGATTCTTCATCCTAGTTATCGCTAGGACACATCTAGATGCCTTCGGGGTAAGTTGTATACATGTAATAATTTTTTTACATAACCAAATGTATAATTCTTTATATTAATTCCTTGGCACTTATTACTCTCATTTGTACGCGGCTCCTTTTGCACGCATTTTATTTTTAACCTTCGTGTAAATACTTTTTTTTAATATGCGTTAATCATTTTTTTCATACACGTCATAATTTTATCCTCTTTCTGAAATTCATTTTTAATAAGACAGTAATAGCAGCTTAAAATATAATAAAAGTAAAAGAAAAGATAATAGCTGTACGCAAAAAAATTGTTACATATGCCACAGGTCTCTCAAGGCTGCGGCTTTGAAACAACTGTTGCTTTTCAATAGAAATTTAGCAACACTCTCATTCGACAGCAACTAATAGTAAAGTGGAATCAACGTGTTTTTATCCTATTCGCTTATTCATCAATGACTATATTGAATCACAAGTTTAGCGACAGATTGTTTATTTTGACAATCAGGGCAACTTTATATCATATCCTTTTAAATAAGTTTAATACTATTGACGATGCTTACGTTTCGTTAAAAGATTACTTTATTCATTTGTAGAACATTCGATCAGTTCTGCCCTTAATTTTGCGTGTATAAGAATTCCCGCAAATCAATAAATAAAACGTTGTTACTGAGATTTAATTCATTACTTTTCTTTCTCTTTTTTGAAAAATGAAGTTTCCTACTATTGCCTTATTAACTATTTGTTCTCAAATCGCGTTATCTCAAGCGCTGTATACATCCAAGGATGATGTTAACTTACTAACACCACAGACATTTGGTCCTGCCGTGATGGATACGAATGTAACCCTATTTTTTTTCTTTTAAAAAAACAAACTAACCAGTTACCATAGCAACTGGTTGCCGTTGAGTTTTACGCGCCATGGTGCGGTCACTGCCAGCGACTCGCGCCCGAGTGGAAAAAGGCAGCAACAAATCTGAAAGGTCTTGTCTCGGTCAATGCAGTTGATTGCGATGTAGAAGCCAACAAACCACTCTGTGCGACTTATGATATCAAAGGATTTCCAACCATCAAAATATTCCCTCCTGAGCTACGAAAACATAAAAAGACAGGCAAGCTAAGCAAGGTGCCAACAGGTAGATGATGATGATGATGATGATGATGCTCCTTGTATTTTGTATTTAAGTTTTTTTTTTTTTAGACTACCAAGGACCACGAGATGCAAAATCTATTGTTGATTATTTATTATCTAATCAACCTTCGAACGTATTATTTGTCAAATGGAATGAAAAGGATGTTAAATCAAAAAAGAGTATCACCTTGGATAATTTCTTATCTACACAGGTAAAAAAAAATCCTCGTTTGTGATTAGAAGAAGTAATAATATATATACACAGAACGAAACATTACCCAAAGCATTATTATTCACCGACAAGCCTACAACTACACCATTATATAAGGCACTCTCTGTCGAATTTAAAGATCGTTTACTAATGGGCGAAGTGAAGCAATCCGAAAAGAATATTGTCAACGAATTTAATATTCAATCTTTTCCTACTTTGGCTGTCATTTCCCCTGAACACGGCACGGTCCAATTCGAAGGCAAGTTGAAGAGAGACGCTTTAAAATCCTTTTTGGAAAAGTACGCTCTGAAAAGCAAGACATCCGGGAATGATAATAAAGGTAGCTCTGACAGCAGCCAACCAAAGAAGACGACAAAAGGTATACGTGTTCTTTGTATTACGTAATCTTATACATGTTCCATAGTGGAAGCTATTACGACGAATGATAGCTTAAAGCAACACTGCCTGAATACAAACCAGATCTGTGTGCTGGTCATTACGGACGATCAAGATAAGCAGGAAACGATTGATATATTAAACGTATTAAAAGACAAGAATGACAAGTTCCAGTATGGCTGGATGCATGCCAGTCAATCTGCAGATATTGTCAACGCACTTCAACTGCCTCAGGATTATCCATCATTATTCATCTTGCATCCTTCAAAACATGCGTTTAGAAATTACGTAGGCGCATTTGATGAAAACAAGATTCATCAATGGCTCAATCGTGTCAGCTCAGGTGCAGTTGATGCTTGGGCATACAAAGGTGACATTAAATTGATTGAAAGGCAACATGATGAATTGTAAGCAACTGCATTATTCTAAAATAAAGCTTTAAACAAATTCTGACCAATAAAATTAAAGTAAGAAGAAAGTCTAAAAAAAAGGTCTACTTTATATTTTCCCTTTCTTTCCCTTTCTATTATTTTCTGTGTGTGCGTGTGCGCGTGTGTGTGCTTTATATTAATTAAAAGAAACTGATTAGAAAAAATGGTAAAATACTGTGTATTTTGTTAGAGATGTTATTTATATTTGCAGAATGAGGATCAGCAGACAGCTTTAGAGAAACCGCCTTCACCACCACCTTATGACAGCGACAAAGTCATGACAGAAGCAGAGGTATCACCACCTCCTGCACTCTCAATTATAGAAGACTGTAAGTTTTTTTTTTTTTTTTAAAAAAAAAAAAGTATTTATGCTTACTCATGACCATCAGTTGAAACCATTGCCAAGAAAGAAATGCCACTTATTGAAGAAGAAATTGTCAGTTTCAAATGTGTACATTGGGATGTTCTTGAATGGAGTAAACTCGATCACCGTGTGTTGGGTCCTGTTTTTGAAGCAGGTGGACATGACTGGTATTATAAAAACAGACATGAAAAATAAAACAAGACTGACATACATATGATAGGAACGTTCTCATGTTCCCCAGAGGAAATAACCAAAATAAATATGTTTCCATCTATCTTGACCTGACTAACTCCAAGGCGACAATCGATCCTAACGAATACGCCTGTGCTCAATTCATCATTGCACTTTCCAAACCTTCTCAACCAACTCGCTATGTATCATTAACTGCGCACCATCGATTTACGAGTGACGAGAGTGACTGGGGCTTCACCAATTTTGTTACGTTCGAGACATTGTGCGATCTACTAGAAAACGATGCAATTCGTGTGAGTGTGATTATCCGGGTAGTCAAGGATACAACGGGTATTCTCTGGCATAATTTTATAAAGTAAGTTTTTGCTCTTTATTGTTTGGTAACAAATATACTAAAGCATCCAAAAGTTACGATTCAAAGAAAGTAACAGGTTATGTTGGACTTCAAAATCAAGGCGCTACTTGTTATATGAATTCACTGTTTCAATCGCTTTATTTTACCAACTCGTTTAGAAAAGCAGTTTATCAGATTCCAACCGAAAATGATCAGCCCACCAAGAGCATTGCACTTGCGCTCCAGCGTGTCTTTTACAATTTACAGTTTGTGGATACCGCTGTTGGTACAACCGAGTTAACCAAATCCTTTGGTTGGGACTCTTTAGAGGCATTTAGACAGCACGACGTCCAAGAATTTAACAGAGTCTTACAGGACAATCTAGAAATAAAGATGAAGGTAACCATTTTATGTGTTGCACACCTCTTATTGACATCTTATAGGACACACCTGCTGATGGAGCCATAAAGAACTTGTTTGTAGGTCGAATGAAAAGTTATATTAAATGTATCAATGTCGATTATGAATCCTCTCGCAGCGAAGATTATTATGGTAACTCTTTCCTCCTTTTCCTGATCTCGACAGGTCATTTATCCTTCTTTTTTTATTTTTTTATTAGATATTCAATTAAATGTCAAGGGCTGCAAGAACCTCGAAGATTCTTTTAGAGATTACATTACTGAAGAGACGCTCGAGGGAGATAACAAATATATGGCAGAAGGACACGGTCTTCAGGATGCCAAGAAGGGTGTCATTTTTGAAAGTTTCCCACCTGTCTTGCACTTACAGCTCAAACGTTTTGAATATGACATGATGCGAGATATGATGGTCAAGATCAACGATCGCCACGAGTTCCCGCTCGAGATTGATCTTGAACCTTATCTTGCGCCTAATGCTGATCGATCCAGGAGCCACAAATACGTGCTGCATGGCGTATTGGTGCACAGTGGTGACTTGACAGGCGGACATTATTTTGCGTTTGTGAAGCCCGAAAAGGATGGAAAGTGGTTCAAGTTTGACGATGACCGGGTGATTCCAGCGACACTAAAGGAAGTGCTCGAGGAAAATTATGGCGGAGAACAGACGGGATTGCACGGCCTCAATATGCGTGGACGTCTGATGAATCGATTTACAAATGCATACATGTTGGTCTATATCCGAGAATGTATGCTCGACGAGATATTGGCTCCTGTGACCGAAGACGATATTCCCAAACACTTGATTAAACGTATTGAAGAGGAGCGTCGCCTTTTGGAGATCAAGCGAAAAGAAAAGGAGGAGCAGATGTATTACATGAAAATTTTGCTTGCCACAGACGACTCATTCAGAAGCAACCGTGGATTTGACTTTACAGACTTTGACGAACGTCATGCTGTACACAACAAGGTCTTGGTCTCTCGTGTGAGAAAGGATCAGACATTTGGACAGTTCCGAGCAGAGATTGCTCAATGGCGAGGTCTGCCCGAGACTCACATTAGGTTCTGGCTGATGGTCAATCGACAGAACCGCACGGTACGCGCTGATATGCCTATTCATGACGATGAAGCAAATTCGACTTTGGACGAAGTGCGTCAGAGGTATGCTACGAACCAGGTTATACTTCGACTATACCTCGAGGAAACCGATACACCCCCGTTTCCTTATGCAGGACACATGTCAGCGGACGATGCATTGATCTTTGTCAAATTCTATAGTCCTGAGCAACAAACATTACAGTAAGTTCAAAGAGTGATGCATAGACAAGATACTAATATGAGCCCTTTTAGGGGCGTGGGACACTTTTACGCAGACAAAGTGACTGAGCTCTACACGTACGTTGATCTATTCAAAAAGATGGTGGGATTTGATGAAACACAAGATATCTGGGTATATGAAGAAGTCAAGCCTTCGATGGTCGACCGACTTGACCTCAACTTGACCACTACCTTGGCAGAACTTCAGGACGGTGATATTCTTTGTGTTCAAAGAGCGTTGAGTCCTCAAGAGATGCAAGCGATCGTTCAGAACGGAGGACACGCAACAGTGGACAAGTATCTCGAATACGAGCTTGGTAAAGTTCTCGTGACATTCTCGCCTCGTGACAGCAGCGATGAGATGTCCCCCGACTTAGACCTGTGGCTTCACAAGGACATGAGTTATGAACAAGTGGCTGTCTGTCTTGCTCAAGAACTTCATGTGGATGCAGACAAATTACGAGTGATCAACCCGTACTATCAAGGCAAGATACCTCAAAAGCGATTCAATGGACTAAAGCTGGGCAAAGTCTTGGCCGCAGGCTATCAGACGGGTCAGGCAACAGGTCGGTACCGACTGCTTTATGAAAAGCTAGACATGAGCCTGGACGAGATTGAGTCCAAGTGCGCTGTGACCGTGACAGTATGTACGCCGACACTAAAGGACAAGCACACGGTCGAACTGTTATTGTCCAAGGAGAGCACGATAGAGGATCTACTGAACGCGCTGGTGGATAAGAAGGTGACATTTCAGACCGATTCAGGTACCAGACGGGTCCGTATCTTTGATGAACTTGATGGTCGGTTCAATTGCGAGTATGACGAATTGAATTGGAAGGCAGCAGTATCAGAGAAACAGTGTCTGAAGGTGTACGCAGAGGAAGTACCTGCGGAGGAAATAGAGATGACAGAAGATGATGTGCTCATAAACGTGTTCCATTTCCAAAGAACACCCAGCCATACACATTCTGTTCCATTCCGATTTGTTGTTAAACCCGTAAGTTGTGATTAGATGCCTTTTTTTTTTATGAAGACTCACATTTCATTAGGAAGAGCCTTTAAGCGAAACAAAAAAGAGACTTCAATCGAGAACAGGGATGGATGATAAAGAATGGAGTAAAGTAAAGATTAATATCTTTAATGAAGATGAAGATTACTCGTTTTTGGTGAATGATGAAGATGAGACCTTATTTAGTCAAAGGCCATATCATAAAGGAGATACAATTGGATTAGACCATATGGATAAAACTACAAAACTGGATAGAAACGGATCTGGAGCGATCTTTATAAGAGGTTAAATAAAAAATAAATGACGCTTTTATTAAATAAGGAGTTGG